GAAAACCTATAAAGTGTCATAACTAAGCCATAAATAAAGATATTAAAGTGAAATTTGGCACAAAGGATCGCATTAGGGAGTGCCATATTTGGATGTAATTTTTTTGGAAAAGTGGGTGTGGCCCCGCCTCCTACTAAGTTTTTGTACATATCTCGGAAACTACTATAGCTATGTCAACCAAACTCTACAGAGTTGTTTCATTCAGGCATTTCCATATACAGTTCAAAAACAGAAGAAATCGGATAATAACCACACCCATCTCCCATACAAAGGTTATGTTGAAAATAACTAAAAGTGCGTTAACCGACTAACAAAAAACGTCAGAAACACTAAATTTTACGGARGAAATGGCAGAAGGAAGCTGTACGTAGGCTTTTTAAAAAAAATTAAAATGGCCGTGGCGTCGCCCACTTATGGACCAAAAACCATATCTCAGGAACTCTTCGACCGATTTCAATGAAATTCGGTACATAATATTTTCTTAACACCCTGATGACATGAACGAAATATTAAATCGGTTCACAACCACGCCTTCTTCCAATATAACGCTATTTTGAATTCCATCTGATGCCTTCTCTGTATAATATATCCATTAGAAGCCAATGATGATAGCGGAATAAATCTTTACACAAATACGGTATTTAATGCGAGAGTATAAAATGTTCGGTGACACCCGAACTTAGCCCTTCCTTACTTGTTGTTGATTGTGTTTGGTGTAATTGACATTGAACTAAATTTTTACTGATTTCTTTCGCTACTTTTGTGGCATCTTAATTTTTCTGGAAAAAAAAATGTAGATACTGAATTTGTATGCAATTTTCGAAGTTTTCTTTCTGCCAAAAAAAATCACTTTTTGTTGGAAATTGCAGGTCAAATGTCAGTTTTATAATACATTTGCATAAAYCCACAGAGTCATTAGTCACATTGTTGTCCCAAACCCGTTATGTGCTGATATTTTTGAAATGTAAACATGCAGATTAGTTTAGTWGTGTATAATATGTATTTGATACATTTAAATTTTTCAATTTATTAAATATTTAACATAAACTTATGTATTTATCTTTATCGTRTATAATTTAAATGTATTTGTATTCGTTTAAGTATTTTTGCACATATTTTGTTTAAYAAGTTTGTTTTTAATAGCTCTCATTGCTTTGCCCTCTTCACACTACCAATTCCGTCTTCTTTTTCATGTACATGCTTTGTATATGTSGGTGTGTAAGCGTGACTTTTGTCTGGCTTATTTAATATTTAACTTAAAATTACTAAMATAATAACAAACATTAAACAATTAATGTCTTTGGGCGTGTGAACAAAAGTGATAATAATAATATTAAATGACAAACAACAGACAAATGAATGAACGACGAAAGAGTTGCTGCATGTRTGTGTGAATGTTTGTAATGGTAGTATAGTTGTAGTAGTTACAGTAGCGTTTGCTGCTAGTCTAGCCACCTCASCGACAGTTCTTCCAACGCTAGCATGCCACATCATCTATCCACACCAAACAAATTTAGACAAATTCATAGCCAATGCCAAATTGAAAACCATTCACTGGTTTGTCGCTCGCATATTTTCGTACCGGTATGCAATAATTCATTTCAATCCGTGCACGTTCGGCTAATTTAAATGCTAGGCCAATACCAAAAGCGCTGCGCATGTTTTCTAAAAAAGTGAAGAAATAAACACATAAAATACTTGCATATAGACATATTAACATTTTATTGGCAGATATATTCATATGGTCGTATTTGGTAAATATATATGGGTGAAAAATTAATAAATTAGAAAATAATGCTAAAAGATCCTTTAAAAACGCGGTAGAAATGTTTTCACTGTTTTTTAGTAAAATATATCGGGAAGTTTTCAATGCTTCAGATAACGTATAACCAAAGAAAAATTGCAAAAAAAAAAAAGGTTTTGTATCTTACCTGCTGAAAATGAGTTGAAGCCTCCGCAATTGTAGAATAAATGTGTACGGAAATTATTAGCCAAACCCTTGAATACGCGATTGAACGGCAAGGGGCCCCACAAGTGAAGACCAGTGCACCAATGAGTCTGGAAGAAATAGAAAAAGTTTTACAAATACTGAAGCATAAATTGCAACTAAAGAAAATCTCACCTGCGCACCGATGGATGTGCCCTCCACCACTGGACCAGCACCACCGTACTTGAAYCCTCTAAGCGTCAGTGGACCACCACAGTAGAATAGACTACTGATTGGTAGTACTGTTGTGTTTTTAGTCTCCTTAATCACACCAATGCGACCACAAACTTGTGCCACAAGTCCGGCAATCAATGGCACACTTATTTCACCATGCGTAGTGCTGCTCATGTAGGCAACATTGCCACCCAAACCACAATATTCGTTGACCGATTTGAACATTAGGCCTTGTGTGGGAAATACGGGATTATCACGCTGATCATAAATTACAGAATAACGCACCAGTGACGCTAATTTAGGGCCACAATGTTCTCGTATRGCAAATGGAACTTGTTTCGCTAGCAAAGACGTTTCACGTATAGACGCCTCATACTGTATGGAGTGGGTGAGCTGATGAAAAAATCAAAGACACAAATTAGTGACTGAAGTATTTTAAGTAGTTGCATACTTGCCTCAAAGGGATAGAGCGTATTTACAGAGAAATCTGTCATGAAGCCCAAATTGGCATTTTGAAACGAGCTAATATCCATGCGATCCACATGCCGGAAGAGTGAAAGGGAGACTCTGTGTGGCAATAAAAAAAATTTTCTTAGCGGTTTAGTACAATTTATCGATTATTTTTAAACGCACTCTGGTCGATTCTCCACGAAGCGCGTATGAAAGAATGATTTCCAGAAACGCAGTTGTAATTCATTGGCGCGTGTTGTCGCATAGGAGCCTTGCAGCGAAACACTTTCACCGCGTCCAAACAAATTCGGTATRCTCAATTCGGTGCGCAGTGAACCTTCGTTTTGGCCCACTTCCGTRCCCACTGAGCCAACTAGACGCGACAATTCTTGACCTTTCAGCGTAATCTCATAGCCATTGGGTGAGGCGTTCTCGCCTTTGCTCACGTCAACGCGCACCTGTACATCTTTGAAAATGCCCAATTCATGGAGATAGGACTTGGCGCTGTAAATAATTTTTGAAATCATTATTAATGAAAAAAAATGAAAAGCTTCATAATATGAWAAATAATTACTTCATTGACTCAATCATGAGGTCTTGAAAATTGCGCGCTTTAAACAGTCCTTCGGCTGCCTTCATAACGTAGTCATTGTGTGTGCGCAGCAAACCGCTGACATTTACACGTTCCACATGAGCCTGACGTGCGTGACAGTATCAATTAGGTTTACACAATGTTGGCATATTTCATAACGTAATTACTCACTGGTATTTTGGATAAATCCACCTTTGCCTGCTCTTTCACAGTACGCGTGGGTCTCGGCATTTTGCTGCTGATTTATTTACACTTAAAAGCTGTTTGATTGTTGTAGTTGTAATAAATGCGACGACTGCAAAAACATATATTTCTTAAAAATATGGAATGTTAAATGCAGTGACTCCAAAAAAAAATTATTAAAAATATGGTACATATAAATTAAATTTAGAATTTAATAATTTTTTCAATTTTTGATTATTTATTAATTAATTTAATAATTTGAAGCAATCGTTATACATTCCATAAAAGTAGACATAATAATTAAAAATAAAATTGAACTCTAAATGTTTGAAGTAATATTAATAAAAATTTTAGTTATATGGCAGCTCTTTAAGTCGTGGGAAAGGTTGATTAAATTCGGAAAATTTAATAAATAAGTAGTTGTCAGATATTTTCACATCTWTACATGTATTAAAAGAACACAACATCTATATTCTTAAAATTTACTTGAAATTCTAACAATTTTCCTTTTTAATTGCAGATCGAATTGGAGAATCTCAATAGCGCAACAGATGAAATTAATAAGCTCGAAATTGAATTAGAGGTAAATAGAAAGGAATGTCGAATTTTGTAGACACAATGTCCATAGTCTACTGGAGAAAATAATACATTTTCTTTCATATTATTTCAGGAAGCTAATTCCACATTCCGTATACTCTTAAATGAATCTACAAGACGACTAAAAGTATCTTCAAAAAAGTTGGGCAGCTGCATTGAAAAGGCACGGCCCTACTATGAGGCATTGGAAAAAGCGCGTGTGGCGCAAATTGAGTGCCAGAAGGCGGCGGTGAAATTTCAACGCGCCAATGGTTAGTTAAACGATGATAGTTGATAAATTAAAACAAGAGCAGAGCAAAAAGAAAAAATAAAAATAAAAGCGCAAGAAATTTATATTTTTTAKTTTTTGCATATYTGGTTACAAATATTAAAGACAATAATAATATAAATCTCTTTTACTCAAAAATAAATGCAGTAACAATAACTACAAATAACTAAAAAAATTTCACAGAAATTCACGCTGCTGCTAAGGAAACCGTGGCTTTAGCCGAAGAGCGTTTTATGTCCAATTCACACGAGTGGCAATTCGACAATGCCTGGCAGGAAATGTTGAATCATGCCACACAAAAGGTAATGGATGCGGAAAAGCAAAAGGCGGAGTGCCATGAGGAACATCAACAACGCGCTATAGTCTTCAGCACAGCCGAACAAACGGTAAGCAAACCATATCCTTAAATTGTGTACACAATTAAACAAATAATTACAAAATTAACTCTACTACTCTCAGGTTCAACAACTTGAAGAACGTTTCCGTCGTAGCATAAATAAATCACGCCCGTATTTCGAAGAGAAACAAATTTGCAATGATCAGCTGCTAACACAAAAGGAACGCATACACGAACTACAGCAGCAGGTACAAACAGCAAAGAACACCTACGCCACAGCGCTACGGAATCTTGAACGCATCAGCGAAGACATACACCGTCAGCGTGGTGATTTTCAACAAATGGGCGCACCACCACCAGGTCCACGTGAACCGGGCGTCGGCGCCGAACTAAATTCGCCTACAACGACCACGCTGCCACCGTTGCCCGACTTCCAGTTGGAGTTGGAGAAGTGTGATTATCCTTCAATTGCCGGCAGCCAAATATCGCTGAGTGGCAATTCGCATCGTTCCAGCGATTTGGCGAGTGTCAGCACTCAACCTGCCTCCATGAGCCACAGTGTTGGTGGCGATGAATCCGAAACCGAAGAGTGTGAAGCCGACTATGCGGACAGTGCTGAATTGAATGGCGTTGTAGATGAACGTGATCTCGAAGAACTACGCCAGAAGGTGAAAATACTCGCAGTACGCCCGATCGAGGGTGGCGATGGTGAACAACAGCGCAATGATATGTGGGAACATGAATTAACCGCCACCGTGAATAAATTAGATCAATTAATGCTAATGAATGAATGTGCGTTGAAGCAGCAGAAACAGCTTAAAATGAAACAACAGCAGCAGCAGCAACAAAAACAACCTGAACGTCAAGTGACTGGCGCCGGTGTACGTCCCGTTTCTTTGGGCGCGGAGGCACCAGCACAAATGTACGATGTTGTACACGCCAAACCGGCAGCAGTGATTGAAGAAATCGACGACGATGACGTTGATGTAGTTGTGGTGACGGGCAACGCAGGACCGCTCGTACAAATCACACACGCCAAGCCGGCAGAATTGCAAGTCGATGCTGGGGTGGTCAGTTATCCAGCTACGCCCGAACACACTGTACAGCCCTTAAAGAAATTACAGCAGAAATTGGGTCCCTTGCCAACGGTGAATGTTTCGATGCGTGAATTGCCATTGTTAGCACGTCTYTCCAACGAAATACTCGACCGTACAACTAGCAACAATAGAGTACGTCAGTTGCGGCGACGTTCGCTAGACTAGAGGGCTGCGACCAGCCAGTCGCGCTGGCTTTTGGGTAATTTTAAGCGAACATTAGTTAGCAGTAAGCGGGGAGCGTAATACGTATTACATGAGTATTGCTTAAAGTATACACATAACTACTAATTACCTATGCATCGGTTATTTTTTAAGTTCACATCTAATAACTATATATTTGTGAATGTAATTATTTTTGTGCAAAAGAAAAACAAAAATTAGTAGTTAAAATTGTTTACCATGTAAAAGTACTATATAATTATGGCAAAATCAAATGTAATATTTATTTGAAATAATTGTAAAAATAATTCGATATTATTGTAATAATTAATTGTTTATGTAGGATAAATCATTAAAAATAAAATCAAAGTGCAAATCTCCAATTATCAATGAATTAATAGAAATAAATATCTAGAATCGCTATATCATAGAATACTACTTTCAATTTTAAAAGAGCGAATTTTAAATTAATGTGAATATTCCACTTAGGGTAAGCATGCAAGTACACGTTTTCAAAAAAGTTTTGCTAAGAAGCAACTGAATTGAACAAAATCGTGAAGGACAGCTTACTGTCTACAGATTCCGAATTAATATTATATAACTGAAAATTAAAATAAGTAAAAGGAAGTAAATAAAAGCAAAATTTAAGAAAAAAAATAAAATTTTTGTGTTCTAAGAAGGTTTATTGTTCAGTATAGCGAAAAGCACAATTAAAAAATAATATTTTTTTAAGGTTGTAATAAAATCGGCGAAACTGATGCAGACATTTTTTTAAGCCAATAGACAACAACTTATTTCTGAAATTCTATTGTTGTTGTTATTGAGGTGGTAGAAAACATTCTTGACGTGATTTTGAGTCAAGTWGACAAGCTCTGCCGAGTTGACAGTCCTTGGCCGGATAAAAATCCGGGTCCGTTCCGGTTTTCATAGACCCGACTGTCGTGGGAACGGGGGTAAAATTCTCCTCCGTTTCGGTTACTCAGACCGGCTGTTGTGAGAAAGGATTTCTGAAATTCATTAATAAAAATTCCGACACTACTGCAARTTGTTTTGAGAAGTATTTAATTTTCAGCTACAAAATTATAATAGAAAAATTCTTTGTTAAAAAGCCTCCACTAATTGTAAAAACCGTGATTCAAGTAAAAAAAATCACCTATCTCCCTTTGATCCGATCCTGTCGAAACAACTGTTTCTAGCGCTTGCCGTTAATTGACTTCGATGTCAACCAACCCGATCCTTATTTATTATAAAGTAAAATGAAATAAAAAACCCTCAAACAAAGAAACCCTCTCATAAAATATGTATATATACATATGCCTTTCAAATAACGAAATCGAATCTGCATACTTTAAGATTGCTTTTATTAAAGACATATGTACATATATTTATTTGAGTAAAACGCTACTTGAAATAAATAATATGTCAAATGACATATTATGATATAATAGTAGTATCACCAGGTATTTCATAAATGAGGTATTGCAATTGCTATCACATCTTTTTCACATATAAGCCATTTTCTAAAACAAWGTTTATATTAAAAATACAAATATTTTTTGTTTCATAAGTCATATTCCAAAATTATGTGTAAGTATGTAAGAATGGGCGACATTCAAATTTTAAATGYTGCTAGTCTGATGACATCATACTTTTTTCTAGCGACCTTATTAATAAATTGATTMTGATTGATAAGATACTAGGAGCTTTACTATGATTTGATTATCAAATCAATACTTGTGTCAATAATACGGTGCTTAGCTTTCTAATTTTGTTGGAATAAGTCATCAGGTGGTTGCCCTAAACGCGGATGGTACAAATGGGGAAATCTGTGTCTTTTAATCAAATACTTAAGCATAGCAACCTGTGTTTTAGTAATATTAACGGTAATGCATAAATATAATAATTTATGCTCAAACAAAACATTTATTTAATAATTTCTTACTTATATAACATTAATTTTGCGTTGGATTTACCTAAAAAGTTGAGCACCTCAGCTGTTTGTCACACACCTCCAACACTTTGTTTATACAACGCACTTTATATTCTTCACCTTTATTCTTTAAATTATGCACTTATTTTTTCATTAACGCTTTTTGGCACAATTTGTAAAAATCCACATTACAACCGAAGGAATGCAAAACACACGCAACAAATAAAATTCGACAACTATCAAACGATAATAGCTGTCAGATGAAAACAGACAGCTGACACACAGGAACACCCAAATGTATAGGAATTTTGCCAAATTTTGGTCAGTTGCATTGTTGTTTATTCGAAAAACAGTATGAGTATATATTTGTAGTAGAGTAAGTGTAAAAATCAAAATTATCATATGACATCATTTTGCTAGCAATTATTTTTATAAAAAAAACTTAATTGTTCTTGTCACAAAACTTAAAAAAAGTGGCACCCCCACTAGCGCAAAGATTGAAAAATAAACAAAACCTCCCACCACCCTTTCTAAACAGCTGTTCTAGTTCTATAAGGTCAACCTAAAACACATTATCRTAGACGTACGTAACAATTGCATTTCATAGAAATGGCACTTTCACATGCCCGCAAAGAGGAGATTCCTAAAGATGCTGTAATTATTAGTGAGGAGCAAGCACTAGCTTATCAGTGGAGTGTTATTTCGGGATGGGAAAATCGCTGGGATGTGTGGAGCTTACGTTATGGACCAGGCATACTAGGAGCTATGGCAGCTGCTACAGGCATTTACGTTAACAATCACTATCGCCGGAAATTAAAACTAGGCAATTATGGCAAGGCATCTACATACCTGCCAATTGTAGTCATACCTGCCATGTTTTCAGTGTTGTCACACAAATTTATGGTACAAAGATATGTAATATTGGGTCAAAATAACGATTGTCCACTTTGCTTGCAATTACGTGCAGGTACCTTACAAGGTGGTGTTGGCGTTTGCTACCCAACTTTATTGGCACCTTTYGCAGCTTTCATGTTTGCCACACGTCATTACACATATCGCTTGCCATCCGTAACGAAGGAGCCACTTGAACTCTTTAAACTATGGCARGGCATGACGCGACCTATATTGCCGRTACTAGGAGCGGTGTTAGCTGGACAAGCAGTTGTGGCTATGTATATGACCTACAAGGAACAGATGCAAAATTGGCGCTTACATTTAAAAATGCAGCATTTAGAGCAGTTAGCGGAGGAAAAGCAGCAGGAGAAAAAAGCATTGGAGGCAGCAAAGAATTTTTAACTGCTTTAGCTTTGTTAAATTTATTTAAATCTTTTACATCTATATTTAATGCTGAATGTTAAGAAAATAGAAAATATGCTTTTAAACGAACAGTTATGCTGCTTATTGTGTGATTTTTCCAGACTGGTGAGTAGCCACTAATTTGTTTTATGTAAAAATAATTAGCTACATTGCGATGCACAAAATTCTATATATTTATTTGTTAAATCGTTAGTACAAATGCATACTTCGATTTAATAATGGCTTAGTGATATATCTTAACACCCTCAATATGTTTTAACACATAAATAAATTAGGGTGAACAATTTGACAATTAAAAATTAATTTTCTRCTTAATACCTTAATTCATGAAATTTTTGTAAAATTTAATGCATTTTCAACAAACTGAACTAACAAAATGTGGCTTAGTTAAATAGTAATTGGATGTTCAGATCATCGATTTATTTTTCACAAAAAGTAAAGCAATAATTTTATCCTTACAGAAATTAAAGTCTCGGSATTTTTTTKTTTTWAATTTTGTCATAGTCTCATGAATTAGTTAGGAATTTTAAAATATTTTAGTACAATATTAATTAGCAAGTTAAATAAACTTAAATAAAGTCGTATTTCAAACTCACATTTTGAACTGAATAATTCTAATTAAGAACTCAAACATACAGAGTTGCATACCAACTATTTCAAACCCATATTTTAGGAATGTACTTTTTTGAATATTTTGTTGGTAATTTGAAATGTTAGTTTCAACATTTTAATAATAATAAATTATTAATTTTGTAATATTAGCATAACTATTGATTATTTTTTAATATATAACATATGTATGTAGAGCACATATTGTTGCTAGTTACTGCAAGGTGTAAAGGAATGATGGTTATATATTTGTAAATCTGGTTTTTATTACGACTTTTAATTTTCAATATAATAATATTCAGTTAATTATTATATGTGCATATGTTTACGAAGGAGGTATGTATATATAATTAATATACTAAATATGTATATATATATGTAGATAAATGTATAACTATAAATACCTGAAACACACATTTATTACTATCAGCGTCAATAACAGTATTTTCATAAATTTTTTATCGAATAAATATTGCAATCACCAAAGGTAAACTCTGCTGTGGTTGAAAAAGAAATCAACTGATTTTTCTAACCACCATTTATAACTTCCTTCAAATATACAGTATGTAGAATTTTAAGTTAACTACAAATATACATATATTACATTTACAATGTCTACGATATACAATTTTTAATGAATAAATAAAAAAAATGTAACGGTGTACAATATAAATAACAATTAACTAGTGTAACATTGGCTAATAATACAACACATCAATAAACTCCTTTTTTTTAGTAAGTAAGTTAAAGTAAATATTTACGCTTACATTATACATACTACGCAAGTGCTTAATGAACTGCATTGTTATATGTACGATTTAATTACTAATGAATATAGGGTGCCGCTAAATCACTGCACAATTTGCCAACATTGTAAATAATATAAATCGCATACATTGCATCATTTGTCACACTCAATCGAAGGTCAGTGGTATTGAGGTAAATGGAAGTACGGGACATGTAGGCTCCAACTGCAATGCAGTCGCCATACAATCAGCAGAGGCAGTGTAATCTCCCAGTGTCTCCATAACTTTGCCCAAACTGAACCTAGTAGAATAAAAAAAGTTTTGAAAATTATAGTTAAAAATATTTAAGAAAATTAGATTTTATACCATATTTTTGGGCAGTTGGGATCTAAGCGCGCTGCATCCTTCAGCATCTTCTCCGCCAGGCGTGGTTCGCCAAGCACGTGATGTGTTTCGCCGAGCGCGCGTAATGCCTCTGTGTGATTTGGATTGGCCGAAACGGCGTTAAGGAAACACTGTTTCGCATCGTTCCATTGCTCTAGATATAAGTAAATTTGACCGCGCTGCAAACAAAATGGGCGTTGTTATTAGTATTTCTTATATAAATATATAAACACATTTCGAAGATTTCATAGTTAAAAAATTCTGCAAAAAAGTTTATAATTGAAAATTGTACAAAGTCTACTCTGTGACACTTTGTTTTTGTCAATAGTAAACAAGATGTGTAAATAAATCAAAATAATTTCAGGTTAAGTTAAAATTGCATCTTACCATAAACATGATTTGATGTGAGAGCGGATATATTTGCGATGCCTCTTGTATGCAATTCAATGCCTCATGCGGCTGTTCGATGTTCAAATACGMATCGGCGAGCAGCAGCCAAATCTGTGGAATCGGGAAGATGTGTAATTTTAATATTTATTGAAGTGTATGAGCAATTAATAATCAATAACCCACCTTAATCTGTATCATCCATGGCCGCTGCGGTCCCGGACGTGGTGTAAAAGAACTCAGTGAGCTGGCTGCTTCACTTAAAGCTTGTTCAACACGCGAAACTGCCGCCAAAGAAGCAGCATACACAGAATCTGTTGGAAAGTGGAGCATTTTTTGTTATATTTTTTTTTTGTTTGTATTTCAAATACAAACAAAATTAAAAAGAGAAACGCAACTCGAACTTGAAAGAGCTTAGTGAATGGCAAGTAAAGGCTTGAATAGCCAAACAGTAATTTTTTTTTTTAAATAGCAGTAATAGGTTAGTAAAGTGTACGTGAGTGAGCAAATTTGTTAATTTTTTTCAGAATATAACAAAATTATTTTAAAGCAACTGGAACAGAAATCTGTGTGGTGTCTTTTTTAGCAAGCATAGCCGAGTGTTTTTTTTTTGTATAAAAAACTGTTAAGTAACTAGTTACACTTACAATTTCAAATAAGTTGTTGCGCAAAAGTGGCCAACAGTAAAAATTATTAGATAGTTTTTGGTAACACATATTGAAGTATAGTAAACAAAAATTAGTAAAAATTATCAACTAAGTTTTATACAAAATAATTTTATGAATTGTGATGCTTTATTTAAATGCGAGAGAAATGATTCATAGTATATTAGTGATACTATAATTTTTTTTCGATACATTTTTTATTTTTATTTTCTGATATTTAAAATTTAATTAACTTATCTTTAACTGATTTTTCATGCGAATAATAATTTTGAAATATGTCTAAAAAATTTACTCATAAAGTAATTTAGACACAATTTTAAAGAAAATTTATGAGTATCCCTGTGGCTATTGTCTAATATGTCATTTAATCCCAAATGTGGTAAATAATTAAAGCGCAACACCTATGCTGTTCACAACTTACTTGAGTCCTTATCTGACATTTGCGACGACACTGCTGTTGGATTCATGTGCACCACAATACTTCTGGTATCAGAATGCTTCTCCTCCTCCACACTCACTTGTCCCTCGTACAATTCACGCCAAATGGCCAGCATCTTTTGCACCGATACCAGCGATAATTCGGCGTCTTGTAAATGCAATTGCAGGTGGGCTTTTACATGCAGTAAATTCAAGTTATCTGGAAACTCGTCCAGCGCATCTTCCACAACAGCYAGCGCTTCACGTGGCCGACGCGATGCGGTCAACAATAAAGCGAATAAATGCAAACTGGGTGCATGTTCAGTGCGCAATGCTAATGCAAAGCGTACATGTGTTAGTGCCTCCGCGATATTACCAAGTAATGCATACTGCAATGATAGRTAGTATTCGCATAGATGATCGTTGTCATCGTTTTGTACAGCCTTCTCAAGTGACTCCAATGCCAACTTATTGTAGGAATCACGCTCTGATTTAAGCGTTGTCAGTATGGCCAATTGCTGGTAACCAATACCGACGAAAAGTTGACTCCGCGTTGGACGTATGCCTGAAATAAAATTAATGTTGTATTTAAATTTGATTTTTAGTTTTTAAGTATTAGCCAACATGCACCTTTGGTTTCGCGCTTTAGCGCCTGATGCGCAAAGTCCAGCCCCTCTTTGATCAATGCTAAAGATTCGTAGCACAAACGCGCTGCCATCAAACAGGGTAATGGATCACTTGGCGTCAATTTGATGGATTCTTGTAGTACACGTAATGCATGGGCATGCTTCCCGGCGGCCATTAGACTTATACCATATTGCCGCCATACATGCTGTTCGCCAAAGGAGAATTTTAGTGCCTTTTCAAAGGACTCCTGCAACATATTCACCAAACCCCAACGCACGGTTGCAAGTGTAAGCAGATCGTAGACTGCCGAAGCATTACCCATAGCATGTTGACGCGCCACACGAAATTCAGGACTCTGTGAGAGCACCGTGTCACGCACCGCTAATGCTTCTGATATGAGTAGTAGTAATAGTGTTTCCTCGTGATGGTTACGTGGTGTAAACTGATTACGTGCTGCATATTTACGCGGTTTCCACAAACGTTTCGTTGTGGTCGAACGAAGTGCCTGTCCAGTGGGCTTTTTCGTGAAGGGTGCTGTATAAATTGTGCCCGAGACACCGCGAAGCAGCACCTCAGCCAATTGTCGCGCTAATGTTAAGCGCAAGGACTGCGTCGTCCTCGTTTCAATGGCATTCAGCATGGTGCGGTAGCGTTCGATTGCCTCTTGCAATTTGCCCGCCTTGATAAGTACAATTGGCGCGCGTTGCAATGCTGTTTCGAGTATGGCTCCCATGTGTCGTTTTAGTTCTAATGGATTGGCAGGTATAGTGGTGCTTATAGTTAAGCTACTACCTCCTAGTGAGGATTGCAGTCCACCCATATTACTAGTGGAATTTATTGCTAGCATCGATCCGGAATTGGCTGCGCTATTGGTCGCAGATGAATATGACGCAATATCCTGTTCCTGAAGATATAGTAGACCTAAGTCTGTGGCACGCTCGAAGCAAGTAATCTGATGGAAGAAATTAGATAGTGATTAATGCAACACTTTTAATTTTTGAAGCAATAATAATTGAACAATTTTTTTTTACAAAATTTCACATATCTACCATTTCGGCTTCCTTTTCGGCCTTTTTGAATTTTGACGTAGGTTTACTGGTTTGGTTTTCCAAGCACAACCCTTTAATAGCATATGATTCAGCTAATATTTTCAGGCTACGTCTGTAATAATTTTATACATATAAACATTATTGCAATAAATATTATTTTATGTTATTAACTTACAGCGTCAATTCTTTTTCAGCTAAGGTATTTAGCTCCGCTTTAACAAAGTTTTCTAAACTCTTCTCATATTCGCCACAAGCGTAGCAGAGCTTTGCCAACAGCAAATATGCATCCAAAGCTATGCCTGCTTTCTGGCCACTTTCCCCCGTTACTAGATGTAAACAGCGGCGTGCGTCCTGCAGTCCATTTTTGGCTTTGGCAAAATTACTTTCGATGGGAGCATTTTCTTCGAGGTAGTTTTCAAGTTTTGCCTCACCAATTAGGAAATTCGCAAGGCATTCTAAAGTAAATTAATTACATTAATTTAAAATTTTTTGCTAAATTTTTATTTTATTTGAAAAAAAAAACAAAATAAGCACAATTTAATATGAAAATGACACAATAATATGAATCACTTTTTCACAATAAAAGTCCACTTTTGTTTTCTATTTTATAATTACTTTCGGCATTAATTTGCGCTATGCCCCCACACAATATTGCCCCCCTTTCTTACGCGGATAACAGTAACCACATATGATTGCTGATGCTATTTTTTATTGTTTGTAAACCGTGTTTTGTTGCTGTTGTGTTTGATGACATAATAACTTTGTCATTAACACTATTTCCCTACTTTGGGTATGTGATTTACTCACATTCATATCAGCATTGTTTTTGTTAGCGTATTTGCACATAGAACTATTATAGTGAATATAATTAGCTTAATTCAATTAAACAGTTTACTGATACATTTACTTCACACTTACCATTATTTGGCGAACCTGTTTTGAGCTCCTCCGTCAGCTCGATAACTCGTTGCCATTTCCCTTCACTTCGGCAACTCTCAATAAGTGCCTCAACTTTTGTTGTGTTACGCATTCTGCCGGCCATTATTTTGTATTGAAAAACAAAATTTGTTTTTTTTTTTTTTAAGAAACACTAAAGTTACTACACTAGAGTGCACATCTACGTATGGTGATAATGATTTTAGTGACTGTGAATTGAAAATTTAGCGACACCTTAGATTGTTGGACTTCGCTTCCTCCTTGAACTGAGGTCTTCTTCTTCACCGTCGTTGTTGTCGATTCTAAGTTACTTATTTTCTTTCGGCTTAAACACTCTGTTCCTTATACACACGACGTGTTTAGGGTATATTATAAATTATTGTTTTAATTTTAATTGACATCACATTGTTGGCAATTAGTAATTTTAACTTTTATAAATCTAATTTTCCTTTCTTACTGCTGCTGTTTCACGACTGCTATCAGTGCTGTCATCTGTGATTTTATTGACTTGATTTTTTTTAAAGGGAGCAATGTGTGACGTAAATAATACAAGGTGAGTCTGATTTTTAATTTTCTTTTCAATTTCCGAATTTCATACGACTTGAGTATTCTCATAAATTTTCCTATCAGTAAAATAACTAAAGAACAAATTTATTGATGTTTTATTTGTCACATATTATAATATAATGATAAATTATAGTATTTTGATTCTATTTAAGGTTCTTTCATTTAAGTGCGATTTTTTAAATAGTTTTACCTCAAATTATATTATTATTATGATAAGATTTCTATTTTATACGATTGTTATATATTTCTTTAAAATCTTAAATTAAAATTATGTTCTTCATTTACCTCACATCTGATTATATATAAACATTGCATTCGAGCTCTGATCAGACCAGAATGTCTGACTTACATAAAACTTTTTTCGCTTTGCTTGACAGTTCATAGCTTAAAACCGAAGCGAAGCAAACATAGGGGGTTTCAGAATGACCGCTTCACTCTCCACGTGTCTCTCTGCTTTTTCATAGCGTCGTTTTTTTTTTTTTATCTTAACCGATTCAGTAAAATAAAAACATACACATATTTTAAAAATGTGTGTTTGAAATAAATAATAGAAATAAAGGATTAAGTAATAAAAATTACGACTTTTGCTTGTCAAATGCCCAACATCGCTTAGCCTCATAAGCAAAATTTGTTTGTGAATTGGCAAATGCGTCTCATCGCATACATTTTAAATTATTTTTTGTCCACATTGTTACTTGAGGACAATATAGAACTATCTAGCGATTCTTAAACTTTGTTATAAATTGTGATGTTTGTATAGGTAGTTATGAGGTAGAGTAATTTTACATTATTATATTTTAAAATATATGTTACAATACAGCATTACAGATCTTCATGTATTGTTCCCTATGATTTCTGTGATCCATGGCATGTATTGAAATAAATTTGCATAGGCAGCCGCATTTACATTTTCACCACCGCAACCGCTCAAACCGAACGAAACAACACCAAATTGCACTTGACGCTTTATTGTCACGGAATTGAATGTCTTAAACGGCACAGTTGCAAACAGAGGGCCACCAGAATCGCCCTTACAGGTATCGATTTTATTCTCACCGCCAGCACAAATGTGATCGTGGGTAATATTTACGCTGGCTGTGGCGAATATCCTCTGACAAACCTCACGTGGTTGACGGGGAATTTGTGCATGCTGCAAAACATTTGTGTTAAGACCTTTGAAAAAAAAAAAAAAACAATTTATAAATTAAATATTTATAGGTGTTTTAATTCGGAAAAAAATAGATTTACTATTTTCGGTACGTCCCCAGCCGGCAATGTTAAAGTGTTGTATTTCATCGCAATGATCGTAGACGACTTGCGAAATTGGCAAACAAATGGGTCTAATATGTACTGAAATTAGCATATAAATTATATCGTTATTTTAAAAATTAAAACAAAAAATAAATAAAAATCCATATCGAATCTACCTTCAGTTTTCACCTCACGCTTCAGTTTTAGTAAGGCCACATCATGCGTAAGGCGGGGAATCATATATTGAGGATGTTCGAAGATTTTCTCGATTTCATAATCTTCCGGTGGCGGCAAACATAGACGTATCGAAGAGCTAATACAATCCACATCAGTAGAGAGATCATGTTCTCCCAAGCGCACACTAATTCTAAACGATTTTATATAGATTTAAAGATTTCTTATTTAACGATATAAATATGAAACTGCAAGTGTATTTGCGACTTACAATTGATTTGTTTTACAATGGGCAGCCGTCAACACGAATCTAGAGGTTATCAATGTACCACCACATAAAAATTGGCGACCACTAACGTTATATTTTAGTAGTGCCATAAATGGATATTGACCTAATCGTACTGCTTTTCCATTGGAAACACGATCCCCTGATAGTCGATTACATTTCACTTCCTCGAGTATTGCCAAGCCTTTAGGATTTAATTGTGATATGTAATTGGTGGCGGGGAAGTAATAATTGGTTCGATTACAGCAAAGGTGGATTTGCTATTATAAATAAAGGATATTTTTAAAAGTCTTTAGTAGGAATTTTCTGTATTATGATTGTTTTATTAACACGATTGTTTATTGAAATGCACTGAGGTGGTAATCGATAACGCTATTACTTATATAAGGATGTCAGTTTGTGAAACAAAATCTGGGATTCCTTCGAAAAATTTTGGTAATCAGCTTTAATGGTGTTGAAAGCCTTAGAAAGCATTATTGGTATTGATACATCGTAGAAGTATCTGTTTTGGATCGGGAAAAAGTTTTATTTTTCTAATATTGATAAATGCAAAGATAGCGATAAATATTCGTTTCGAAGTTGTAAACATGGGTTTAAGAACACGAGACATCTTTATCATATCTCGTTGAGATATTTGGAACTTCGTAAAAGTAGATTTCTTCCCTGATCTGATCTCCAACCGTTTGGAAGTCTGGATCACTACTATGAAATACAGTTTTGTTATATATAGATGATGCCGAGCTTTCCACATTATTTCGATAAAAATCGTCAACCACTCGAAATGGCGTCCGTAGAATATATTGGGATAGATGTGTCGTTACATCTACCAATCCCTTGCTTTGAATAAAATTTTACCAATATTCTGATTAAGAATTAAAGAAAGGGGACTTTAAAAACTTTGCTCCGCTGATCAATGACTGCGAATTCTTTTTGGGCTTGAGTAGAATGCAGAAGAATCGATTCGGCGTCGTTCGCAGCAACTCGGATTGACGTAAGGAACGACTTGGCGTATTTATGTCGAGATATTAAATTAAAAACGTGCAGCTTGTGTAAGAACTGAAGGAGTCTGACCCTCCCAAGCGACATCACTTCACTCTGTGATCTCTTGAAAAGTATCAAGAGACTCGAGCCAAATTTTGTTCAGCGATGAATCTCATTTCTGGCTCAAGGGGGATGTAAACAAGCGAGTTTGTTGCATTGGGACGAAGAGCAACCTGAAGAGATTCAAGAGCTGCCATTTCATCCAGAAAAAATTACGGTTTGGTGTGGTTTATGAGCCGCTGGAAAGATGATTTATTGAGAGAACACCTTGGTAAGCAGATAATTTCATGTTTTGGGCCGGTCGACTGGCCACCAAGATCATGTGACCGCATCGTTAGATTTTTTGCTGTAGGGATATATAAAGTCTGAARTCTATGCGGAAAATATTGCTTCGATTCAGGCCTTGGAACAAAACATTACGCGTGTCCATCGCCAGTTCCCGGTCGAATGCTCGAACGAGTCTTCGAAAATTGGACTAAACGTATGGACCATCTGAGACGTAGCGGTGACCAATATTTGAAAGAGATAATCTTCAAAAAATTAATGCCAAAGAATTGTCTTTCGAATGATAATATGGTAAACATCTTACATTAAGTTAGAAGTTTCTGTGCTTTTTCTCTAAAAACAAAAGTAGGGAACCACGAAATGGATCACCCTATATATATATATATATATATATGTATGTATTGAAATTTTTTATGCTCATTGTACTTACATCATTTTTGCAAAACATTTTCTGCACTTCATTCGGATTTTGTATATTATTTTGTATTCTCCAATTTGTTAGATTGGCACATTCTGTATAAAGTAGACATAGTCCAGGCGAGCCATTTGGCGATCGGCAAGTTACATCTTTAAGTTCGTTTTCGAAAATAATCTGCTCATTACCGACAGCATTGGTGAGCAGAAATATTTTCAGCATTATTATCAGCGTCAAACTTTGCGAATTAAAAGAAAGATCATAAATATACATAATAGTTTTATAACGAAATAACTTCARTGAGTTTATAGCATTTTGTTGTTGCTAATATAATTCTAATTACTACTTACTAAAAGCGATTAATCATTTGGTCCGTCATTGTGAGTTTTAAGCTAACACAGCTGCAGTGGTCTASTCGCTGACACAGCTCAAAGTGAAATGATAGAATAGCGTCTAAGCAAATCAAAAATTCAATTCAAGTCTTACTTACTGACTTATGTATATATAGTGCTTGGCTTACTCGCTTGAGACTGTATGATTAAAGAGAGGGTTACTCAGCATGCCGTTTTTATACCAAATACAACTAATCAACGTTAGTATTATGGTGCTCTGCGCCTAATTGTGTGCTTTGCTGATGGAGGGCGCAAAGCTCATTTGAACTGAAGTGGAGACTTTTGGAAACTGCTTATTTTTAATGGTATAAGAATGTTCTTATGGTCTTAGAAACAAAATCAGTTGTTTGGTGAATGTTTGCAACATGTAGAGACCAATATCTAAATAATTTCCTTCAACGTCCGATATAAACTAGGAAAATTGCCCAAAACAGTTAGCGACTGTGAGAACTTGAAAAGAAAAGTGCTTGAAATAATATTACGCAACATTTTTTTTGCTGAATTTGCGTGTTTAAAACTCTCTATCCATTTTGTATAACTTATCAGACGTGCAGATAGGAATCAACTCGTGTAAGTCCCAAATATGTTTAACGTGCTGGGTATATAACAGTTGAGATTTCTCATACTTACATTACTTTCTTCATTCTTTTGATAAATTTACGAGGGCTTTTCGATAAGTCTTCCTTTAAAGTGTAGACGGACTGGCAAAAGTCTTGTTTTGCTTTTTCAAAAAATCATCACTAAAGCCGAACTTAGTAAATATTAAAATAACTCATTCATCAGTTACCATATGCAACATTAGGTTCAGGAGTTACTCAAGTCAACCAAAAAAGGCGGTRCATATATTATACTATAAAGTCCACAAATGATAGACAAAAAAAGAAAAAGAATGTGAACATGTGATGAAATGATGAGGAACTGCTCTCTAGGGCCAGCTAAATGGTTCTGAGAGGCGACAAATATGTGTAAAGCTTACGTCAGAGGCTGAAATGACAAAATTTGTTGATAATTTTAAGAATTCCTAGAAATTTAAAATATAATTTTGAGCGGGAAAATTGTGATTTTATGTTTAATCGCCGA